ATTTGCGTTTCTAGTTACATTTTCTTCTTATGAACACAACAAGTAAGACTATCTGGGATTTTGGATGTATTCTTTCTAATTTTGTATTTCCAAAGATGCATCCTTAAACGGGCGTGTGAAAAGTCTGGTCCCCACAAAATTTTATATTTGGAACTGCAATTGCGGACAGTTTCTTCGTGTGACTTTAAAAAAAATTATGCGCACTTCATCGTTGAAATAACCTAAACATATTGCACCAAATGTTCGTCTTACAAAAAAGTGGTGCGCATAGCGAATATGGCAGAGGGCAGTTCTAGCGCATTTTCCAATACATGTTGGAAGGCGCTATTATTGGCACTTTCTCCGTCCGTCCACTCGAAGCTGCATCTACTCTTACAGTTTTCAAGATATTTAGTTCGTTCTGTTTGCATTCGGTAGCTTAGGGTATAGTAACAACCAAGAACCCAGAAAATTTATACCAATTTCTTGCTCCTGCGCCTGACCAGCGGCTGGTAAAGTTAAAACCAGTTATGTAGGTATTATTATTCATCATCCTTTATATCTCTTTTCTTGTTAGAAACAATACCTACTAACCTGGTACCTACATTTAAAACATAATATGCGCATGGTCTGCGCGTACAGAAGACAACTGTTGATTTATTAAGATATTCGCATGCATTATTACCAATGGACACACAACTAGTAGAATCGTTACCAAAAATATGTTTTCCGCTTGGCGACATATCGCATATATGGTAAAAACCAGATGTGCGCATACGCATACTGCGCAATGTGCCAACTTTATAGTCATTTCTTTGAAATTAGTAAAGAAAAACAAGGCACATAGTAAAAATTAAATGTGTCATGCGGAAGCTGAGCGATATCATCTTTCTTAATCGGCTATTTTTTGAAATTTTAACCACATGTGCTTCTAGTAAAGGCAAACTTATCGCAGCATTTACCTATACTACCGGCATATCTGCACATGCGTGATTCTACCCAAAAGCTTTTCTGCTCTTTCTTTTAGGTATGTCTAAACATATATGTACCAAATTTGGTTCCAATCGGTTCAGTCGTTTACCTGAAAATGAGACTACCGACAGACAGACAGATAGAGATAATCCAGATTTTGTTTGATTCGGCTTCGTGGTGCTTCAAAACGTGTATTTTTTATTATTTATGCTTCCAGGTATAAATATTGAGAAAGGTACCTACACCATATGCTGACCAATATATATTATAAGTCTTAAATCAAATGTCATTTATAGCGCAACGGATGTTGTATTGAGAACCGCTGACTCCGTACGGCTAGTTTTGAGAAACTTTCAGTCGTAGGGAACGGGTTTTTACATTGCATTTCAGGTGCATATTATTAAATACAACTATCGGTCGCGTTATAAATGACGTTTCATTTACGATTTAATAATTTATGTTACATTGCTGCGCATATGGACTATAGTTTACTGACGATATGTACTATATCTTGTCATAGAGTAGTATACTTTAAAAGTTGTGCTGCGTAAGGCGGACGTGAGATTACAAATTGTGCTGCGTAAAACTGGCTACGTAAATACTTGTACACGTGCTGCCATCCAGTGATGTATAACTTCATTTATTGGGTAACAAAACAACCTTAAAAGTCGGTCACTGTAGTTGGAGTTATTTTTCCACGCGCAGGGTCGTATGTACTGCCTCCATGTATGATCGAAGACTGCCTCTCTATTTACTTATATACAACTCTGTGGTCTGGCCAAGCATTTGATTCCCTCCATTAGTTTTCTAACTCAATGGGGTCTCACGACAAAATCCAATATACAGAGTACTGCAAAATTAAAATGACACAAATATTCACGTCACACACTAATGACAAATTTAAGCGTGCGCAATCTCAAATTTTTTATTTCTTAAGATAATTGAATGAAATGTTGTATTTTAGGCACCTCAAATAAAAGTAACTGATGCCGATAAGACATTTGTTTTGCGTATGCGCAATCCGATTTTTTCACATCTCCGTTAGTTATGAACCGAATTATGTAGATGAAATTTTGTACCTCGAATAAAAGTAACTACTTAATGCCGAATCAAAAAATGCGCTATTTCAAATTTTTTATTTGTTCAGATATTTACAGGAATTTTTTTTTATACATATACTAAAATAATAGAAAAGGAACAAATTACATATAACAACGGTGTTTTAAAACATAGTAAATTTCGTCAAAAGAATTACAAAAAAAGTAAAGTTCCTAAAATACATTCGGCTATGCCTTTTTGGATTTCTAGACTGGCGATTCGTGGGTAAATAAACTGGGTTGAGCGGGATTCTCCAGTTTTTTTGCCGCTGCCATGATTCTGGCTTCATTTCCCCAAGGACCCATGGTTTCTACAGCGATTCCATTGAAAATAAACGTAGGTTCTAATCTAAGGTAGCGTAAGTATTTTTCTTCCTGAGTTCAGTTAAAGCGGCTGCAGAATCTGCTTTCTTCACCGAGGAGAAAAGATATGAAGGACATAAGGTGTCAACACAACTAAAGTCCCATGCCAGACATCGTCCTTTCATCCAAGGTGTTAAAGTTTTCCCAATGGGTCGTTTTTTTGTATATACGGACCTCGAATAAAAGTAAAACTAATGCCGATTCAAAAATTTGTTTTAAAAGATGCACTGATCTGGTGGGACAGAATCAATCCCTTAAGGTGTGTTGTAAAAATTATGTATACTATGTGGGAAGATCTCGAGGATCGTTGGGTATTCAGTTGTATCGGATTTTTTGAACAATAAATTTGACAGTCTCATCGTTACGAATTTAGGGCTGCGCGATAATAGAAATTTACTATCGATTATCGATAATAAAAAATTATCGGTAAAATCGATATATAGATTATCGATATAATATCAGTTATCGATATAATATCGAGATTGTCCGATATTGCTATTATAGATATTGTCCATTGTCGATAATTTTTTAGTATACTGTATTCATAGCGACAAGCGACAGGCAATCCACTGCGATGGAAAATGGCCGTGAACCGTGCTAGACCCATCTTACGTTTCGATTGGGTTCTCGTTCTCGAAATCCTTAAAAGTTAAAATATCCTTAAATGTACCGCAAAAACGGTAGATCTGGTAACACTGATTCAAACAAAATTAAAGATATTAAATTCGGCTAAAGACTAATTACTAAAATAATGGATTATGATGTATCATATCGTATCGCAGCTCCAGTCTGATATTTTCTGTAAGTATTTCGATAATTATCCATTATCGGTTATTATAGATTCTCGTTAGTCTTTAATCATCCAGATATTATCCATACTTCGATAAAAAAGTATCAATATACAGGGTGTCCATAAATGGTCTATGCAACGCGCTACCATAGGGATTCTTGGTATCAAAATAGGACGATTTAACCCAACTTACCTCTATCCAAAAGTGCTTCGGTAAGGCGCTATCTACCGCCAGAGATTAAAAAAAAAATCGTTATTTTTATTTTATCGGAAAATGGTTTTTCCGATTAAAATGAAATTCGGGATGTGAATGTCTAACGTAAAAAGGGTCTTTGTGATATCATCGTTTTGATTGTAGTTGCTATGTAGGTGGTAAAATACTGACCATTCACATCTGAAGAGGTCTAAAACTTTTTTACTACTATTTTGACGGTCCTGAATTTTTAGGCACTGATAGACAGTTTACTTGCAAGCATTTTTTGTCTCTTGATGAATATCGCTATCTGTGATGGTTTACGAAAAAAAAAAATTTAGGCATGATGAATGGCATGCCCCATACATGCGATTGTTCCTCAAAAA